GTGCTATTGGACAATTCTCGACGCTGGGCTTAAGCCAACTGGCTAATTTAGAAATCCTGCTTTGTGAAATACCCATTGGTTTTAAGACCAAAGCTCACAGACACAAACATTCTCCAACAAACACCAAAAACCCCAAACATTCTCCAACAAACACCAAAAACCCCAAACATTCTCCAACAAACACCAAAAAACCCCAAACATTCTCCAACAGACGCCAACGGACCCAAACATTCTCCAACAGACGCCAACGGACCCAAACATTCTCCAACAGATGCCAAAAAACCCAAACAAACATTCTCCAAAAAAACGCCAACGGACCCAAACATTCTCCAGCAAACGCCAACGGACTCAAACATTCCCCAACATCTACAAACCCACACATTCTCCAAACACAAACATTCTCTAAACATCAAATTGTCTCCAACAAGCAACAACAAACCCAAACACCCAACCCCTACAGACACCAGCAACCCCAATCTCGAAAAAATAAAACTCGAACCCAAATGTTCTCCAACAAACCCAAACATTCTCCAAAACACAAAAACCCAAACATTCTCCAACATCAACAAACCCACATGTTCTCCAACATTCAACAACAAACCCGAACTCCACCCATCCCCTACAAACCCAAGCATTCTCCAACAAAACATCAACAAACACCAACAAGCCCTAACATTCCCAACAAACACCAACTTCACTTTATCATATTGGAGCAATTCACTCATTTAGCTCAGATGTTCTGAATGACTCAGTACCAGTAGTTTTTTTGGCCCAAAACTTTTCTACTTGAACTCAATTTGTTTTCAAACAGCGGCTATTATATCTACTGGAGTCATTACACTACAGAATTAACAGTACTTTTAATGGAGTTCGGGTTTAGTCTAGAGTTCTGGAACTGAACACAGAGACCTGGGAGTTCCAGAAGATCTAACTTATGGATTCTAGAGGTTTTCAGACTGTCTGAAACAGGGAGTGAAAGAGAGAAGTGAAAAATGTGAGCCTCTTAACTGCTTATGAACAACTAGCCACAGGCCCAGTAGTCAATAATGACTAAGGTTACACGCAGGACAGACGGTGGCTGCTGGATTTTGGACTGTTGCCGTTTGTTTGCAACATTCACAGCCTAACTGGAGTGAACCAGACCCCAGTCAGGGGTCAAAGGTCACAGAACAGATCGTTCTTTCAGACTTCAGTAGCTCCAACTTGGAACAAATGGCACTTTTTGGCTGAATCAATGCTGCGTTTACTCGGGATACAGGAACAATTGGACCAACCATGGAGCCAACCCACTACATGTGACAGGGTTTTAAAGCCATGTCACAGCCTGAAGACTCTGATCTGATTTCCAGCTCCTTTCTCCAAAAACCCAAAGCTCTCTGTGTCACATGAAGGAGAAGTGAGCAGCGGCAAACGCCAAACTTCCCCTAATAGTGAAATGTATGGAATTTCCCAGAACCACTAACTTTTCTGAACCAGAAAAACATCAGTATCGCTGTCGGAGAAAGAGTCCTAACGGGTTCTCTGTGACTTGAAAGCATAATCTAGGCCCGAGGATCACCGTGTCTAGAACTCATGTACAAATCTGGTCCACAGACTAGGTTGACCACACGCTGGTGATTAAAGAAAAGCAAAGGCTGACCTTCTGCACATTTCTACTGGTTTCCTGCTCTAATTCAGACCTAATTCAACTCATCACCTCATTACTAAGCCCTCCATGAGGTTCAGGAGCAGAAAGAGCACCAACATCTGCAGAACAAGGATATCAAAGGCCTGAGAGCCTCATATATTCAAAGTTTTTCAAAGAAAGCTGCAGGCATGTTTTCCCACACCTCCAGTTCAGTCTTAGAAGTTGTTTGCATTTTGTTGTTGTCATACCTGGTGTCTCCATTTTTGTTGGGTTTTCATAATTTGAAAATGCCAGTTGCCCTTTATGACGTGTCATAATCTTATGATGAATGGACTAACAGAAGTGGTCCAAAATTACTTGGAAAAAAATTAATCCATTTCTTTTCATTAAAAGTTAAGAATGTTTTTCCTCGTCCTGTAAAGTTACCTTTTTTGGAGACGCGAGGTTTTGTTCTGACAGTGATTTTCTGCTTCTTACGTTTCAAATAATCCCAAACACATTCAGTGATGTTGAGGCCTGGACTCTGGGGCGGTCAGTTCATTGTTCTGCAGTTTGATTTATTCTTTTTTTTATCCTTTTCTCAGTAAGAGCTTCTTAACAGCTGCACATCCTTTCAGACTCATAGTGCTGAGTGTCTCACAGTGGAAGGATGGACAGAAACTCCTGTGGATGTTTTCAGATCTGAATCCAGAGTGGAGCTTGATTTTCTCCTCTCTCTCAGAGATGAAAGCTTTAAGTGCTGTTTATCTGATGAGGACAGTTTTGGTGTCTAGCAGGTCTTCCAGGTGGTTGTTAGGAGTCTCATTTTCTCTGTAGCTTTTAATCAAATCTGGACTCCAGATTCGAAAACTCCAGTTTTCTCCTCTGAAAAATGTAACCTGTACTTTATGGCTGTTTGGACTAGGAACTAAATATGAAGAATGAACAGTGGAGTTTAAACACATACGTTAGCACCTTATTATCCTAATTTAATTTTAATTTAATGAATAATTTCTTCTCTTTTAAAATCTATTGTCTTAATGTTTTTAATTAACTTTTTAGTTCATACTTTGAATTATCTTTGCATGTTGTCATTTGTAAAACACTTTGAATGACCGCGGTGTACGAAAGGTGCTGTATAAATAAACCCGCCTTGCCTTTAGGGCCTCTCTTCAGTCTAAATCCCTGAGAAAAGTTGGTCACAGTGTTTTAGGTAGTCACTTCATGCTAGGTAAGCAGCGTTGCTGTTGTTTAGAAGCAAAAAGCCAACTAAAGTTTTTAAACCTAATCTTGAACATCATAGTTCAAGTCCAGTTGTCTTCACTTTTACCACTAGACAGTTTAATGACCTGGGGGCGTTACACAAAGCAGGATTTCCCAGTAAGCCTGGGGGACGTATGCAGAAAGTGAGGATGGGTTCATTGGAATGTTCTTGGGGGCAGTCATTGGCTGGAGGTTAAGGAACCAGCCTTATGACCGGAAGGTCGCCGGTTCGATCCCCTGAGTCGACAGTACGTGACTGAAGTGCCCTTGAGCAAGACAACTAACCCCCAACTGCTGCTTGGGTTCTGCGGATAGGGCTGCCCACCTCTCTGGGCAAGTGTGCTCTCTGCCCCTTAGTGTGTGTGTGCATTCACTAGTGTGTATGTGGTGTTTCACTGCACGGGGATATTTCCCCGTTGTGGGACTAATAAGGGTCACTTGATCTTAACTCGTCTCCTGATTGGACGGGCTTCCTGCATCTTGCAAACCTTCACAGACAGTACTGTTTTTCTTTACAGTAAAGATGACGTGGCAAAGTCATAAAGTAGGCATGGACCATTCACACAGCTCCCCACTTTCTACACGGTTTTAAAAGTTTAAGTGGTGCTTTTAGGAATTCTTGTATTCCTGTAACATTTTATTTTGCCACTGATGGTGATCATGATCCAGGGCCTGGTCCTGAAGACAGTCAGCATTACCAGACATCAAAGAAGTAGCCCTAAGTGTGGCTAACTTGGACAAAACATTGAGATACGCAGAGGAAAGTGCGGCATCAGCGAGTGGTTTATAAGCGTGGACGATGTAAATGTAGGCAAATGATTACTGTGGGCAGAACTACCACGATAAACAACGTCATCAAGATCAACATTCAGTTACAGGTGAGTGTTACAGAGTCCTACCCTGTACCTTACACTCTTAAAAACAATGGCTCTTCAGGGTTCTTTAGTAAAGAAAGTGGCTCTAGATAGAACTGTGGAGACTCAAAGAACCCTTTGCATGATTAAAGGGTACTCAGTGTGGCGAAAATGTTCTTCAGATTGACGGATAATGTGTTGTGTATGGTTCTATATAGAACCTTTTTGAAAAGGGTTGTATATAGCACCAAACAGGTTCTGCTATTGTAACAAAAGACTAACCCTTTTTGGGGCTATATAGAACCTTTTTCAATACGTTCTACATAGAACCATCTAGAGCACTTTCTCCATGAATCTGAAGAACCAACTTACAATACAATAGAAGAACTCTTCTTGGTGCTATATAGAACCATTTTAAAAAGATTCTATACAGAACCATATACAACACATTCTCCATCAATCTGAAGAAAGATTTCACCATGCAAAGAACCATTTAAGCACACAAATGGTTCTTTGAGTGTTCACGGTTCTATATAGAACCATCTGTCTTTACTATGGAACCCTTGAAGAACCATCATTTATGTTGCAAAATAGCTCATTGTAGAGAAACTTAATGACTTAAACGGTTCTATACAGCACCAAAAAGGGTTCTTCTAGTGTTATGATGTCAAGCTTGTAGAACAGACTAACCCTTTTTGGTGCTGTATAGAACCACATACAACACATTGTCTATCAATCTGAAGAACCATTTCACCAAGCAAAGAACTGTTTAAGCACAGAAATGGTTCTCCGAGTGCTCATGGTTCCATTAGAACCCTTAGAAGAACCGTTTTTTTAAGAGTGTAGACCACAGAACTCTTTTAGCAGTCCATGAGTGCAAAAGGAGAACCCATGCTTTTCTCGTTCATCACCAGAACCTCTTACAACGAAATGCTGACGTTGATCTCCTCTTTCCTCTTAAGGAGGGCGGTTCAGGATAAAGAACCCAGAAATCAGATCTTTCATTAATACACTGCTGAGCTCTGCTTCATTTCTTTAAGACAATCTTAAGAGCCTCTGGTCAGTGGAGAACAAAGAGTACAGGTAAAAAGGTGGGAGGTTTAACATGGTTGAAAACATCCCCACCGATTTGCCAGCCTCTGGTTCGAATTTCCTCGTTCCACCTTAAGTGCTGCAGGAATTACATTGTGGCGCCTGAGGCATTTAAGGTGGAACGAGGAAATTCGACCCACAAGCTGGCGAATAGGAAGTTTGCGCCCCCCCCCCTCCGCTCTCACCCCTTGCGAGTCTTTGACGAAGTAGCTCCCGCTGGATCCCTGGTAGATCCTCTCCGGGTAGATCCCGTCCTCTATGGCTCGCTCCGCTTTCCGGACGATCTCTCGGAACTCCGGGTCCTCGGAGAACTCGTTCCGGTGAACGCCGCCGCCGCGGGGGGAGCCTCCCCGGTCCCGGTCCAGCAGCGGCTGCCTCTCTCGGTCTCGGCTGCGGCCGGGGCTTCCCGCCGGAATGCGGACCACGGTTCCCGGCGCTCCGCCAAATCCGGCCCGGGGACTCGGCGGCTCGGCCGGGCGGTAGGTGAAGTCGCCGGAGTCGCGGAGAGGCGAGACCAGCGGGCTCGTCTCGTCCATGGAGGAGGAGGGGAGGAGGTGGAGGAAGGAAGGAGAAAGAAAACAGAGCCGAGCCGAGTCCGCCGAGCCGAATCCGTCGTCTGTCCGCGTCCCTCCGTTATCGGAACGATGCTGCCGCACAGAGTGACTCCTCAAAAACACGGCGTCACCTGACCATCAGCTTCCGGGAGACCAGTTCGTGACGTGGCGAGCCGTCCGCCAATAGGCAGCGGCCTATTTCAACACCCGCGACGCTATTGGCTGAGAGCGGTGCCGCCCACCGCGAACACGTGACAGAACACAACACGGCGGAGTTTTAATTCAGCTTTGTGAAGATGGATGTGAACACTGATAAAGTTTCAGAAAGGTTCTTTAAGGGTTCTTTAGTAAGAGTTCTACACAGAACCATAGCCACTCTCTCTCTCATTGTCTCTCTCTCTCTCTCTCATTGTCTCTCTCTCTCTCTCTCTCTCTCATTGTCTCTCACTCTCTCTCACTCTCACTCTCTCTCTCTCTGATTGTCTCTCTCTCTCTCTCTCTCTCTCTCTCTCACTCTCATCCACACAATCTCCCTATCATTTACAGCCTCCTTCTCTCTCTCTCTTGCTCTCTCTTTCATTCACACTCTCACTTTTACTTTCTCTCTCATTTACACTAATTTTCTCTCTCTCATTTTTCATCTCATTCTCTCTCTCTCTCATTCACACTCTCATTCTTCATTCTCTCTCATTTTTTCTCTCTCTCTCTCTCTCATTTATTATCTCTCATTCTCTCTCTCTCTCTCTCGCTCTCTCTCTCTCCCTCTCTCTCTCTGTCTCTCTCAGTCTAGAGCTCATAACTCTCTCTGTGCAGATCTCCAGTCTCTCTGTTTGCTCTGACGCTCTGAGGCGCCGCTGCTCTTTTCCTCCTTCGTCTCTGACAGAGCCTGTGTGTTTTTAGTCACCGCGTGGTCCCGGTTGGTGCCATGGGACCGGACGCGCTGCTTTGATTTCACTGCGCGTGTTGTAGCAACGGCCGTTTCTAAGGGGCGGAGCTAAATGTACAGGAGTTAAATACCCCTCCATATGTGCCATACAGCTGGTGCAGGAGGACACTTTACTCTGACGACACGCTTCAGACCTTCTTCAGCTCTTCTTCAGCTCTCCTTCAGATCTTCTTCAGCTCTTCTTCAGCTCTCCTCCAGATCTTCTTCAGCTCTCCTTTAGATCTTCTTCAGCTCTCCTTTAGATCTTCTTCAGCTTTTCTTCAGCTCTCCATCAGCTCTCCTTCAGATCTTCTTCAGCTCTCCTTCAGATCTTCAACTATACTTCGCTTCTTTTTCAGCTCTCCATCAAATCTTCTTCAGCTGTTCTTCAGGTAGGAACCTGTATACGATTTGCATTGTTTATAAAGCCAATGTTATATTTACATTATTTATACAGCTTATGGTGTGCATTGTTTATACATCAGTGTCTTATAATTACAACCCTATTTCCAAAAAAGTTGGGACGCTGTGCGGAATGTAAATAAACATTTCATGCAATGATATGCAAATCAGGCAAACCATATTTTTAAAGGAACATACTACAAAGACAACATATCAAGTGTTGAAACCGAGAAATTTTATTGTTTTTTGAAAAATATATGCCCATTTTAAATTTGATGCCAACACTGTGCACTGATAACAAGCTGATCAGTCTTTAGCCCAGAGGACACAGTGTCCATGATTTCATAAAAGAATTTAAAATGTTGATTTCTCGGACCACAGGACACTTTTCCACTTCACATGAGTCCATTTTAAATGAGCTCGGGCCCCGAGAAGGTGGAAGAGTTTCTAGATCCTGTTTATATACAGTTTCTTCTTTGCATTTTAGAGTTTTAACTTGCATTTGTGGATGCAGTGATAAACTGTTATCACAGACAGTGGTTTTCAGAAGAGTTTCTGAGCCCATGCAGTGATTTCCACTACAAAATCATGTCTGTTTTTAATGCAGTGCCACCTGAGGGCCCAAAGATCACAGCAAGCAAGTACTGGTTTTTGGCTGTATCCCTTACATACAGATTTCTCCAGATTCTCTGAATCTTTTAATGATATTATGTACCATAGATGATGAAAAACAAAAGGTTTCTTTGCTATTTTATGTTGAGAAACATTATTCTTGAATTGTTGCGCTATTTGTCCACACAGTCTGTCACAGAGTGGTGAGCCCCTCCTCTTTACGGCTGAAAGACTCAGCCTCTCTGAGATGCTCTTGTATACATAATCATGTTACTGACCTGTTGTCAATCAACCACCAGGTGTTTTTTTAGCATTACACAACTTTACAACCTTTTGTTGCCCCATCCCAACTTTTTTGGAACGTATTTTTCAAAAACAATAAAATTTCTCAGTTTCAACATTTGATTTATTGTCTTTGTACTATTTTCAATTAAACATAGGGGTTAAATGATTTGCAGATCATTGCATTTTGTTTTTATTCACATTTTGCACAGCAGGCCCAACTTTTTTGGAAATGGGGTTGTATATGATTTGCACACCCTGTGTTATTTAACTGCATGATTTGCTTAATATCTGTTATAATTACATTATTTAGATAGCCTATATGCATAGCCTATGTTGCATGATTTACACTGTAAATATTATATGAACATCCTACATTTACATGATGTACATTGTCTATGATATATTTTTGTTGTCTTCCTACATGATTGACTGACTTCTGATTACTTAATAGAGTTATATAATAGAATGTTACAGTATTATATCAATTGCATTTCCTCTGTTAGACTATGTGTATAACTTACATAGCCTTTCTACCACACAGGACCCTCACAGAGCAGGTACTATTTGGGTGGTGGGTCATTCTCAGCACTGCAGTAACACTGATGTGGTAGTGGTGTATTAGTGTGTGTTGCGCTGGTACGGGTGGATCAGACACACTAGTGCTGCTGGAGTTTTTCAAACACTGTGTCCACTCACTGTCCACTCACTGTCCACTCTAGTAGACACATCTGGTCAGTGGTGGTCCTGTGGTGGGATGTAACTGTAAATATACGAGTGTTTCTATATGTGAGGTGTTTCTGATAAAATGGCCAGTGATTGTGAACGTTTCACGTGGTGTTTCTGCGATGAACTGCCAGCTGAACGTGCAGTACTGAACAACTCAATGTGATATCATATGTTTCAGTGTTTAGTGTGTCACTCTTTGCCTTCATTACAGCTTCCATTCTTTCTTGCATTCAGTGTTTCAGAGAAATCTGCAGGGATGTTTTTCACACCTCCAAAGTTCAGTCTTAGAAGTTGGTTTAACATTTTCTGCTCCTCAGAATCCCATATCCCAAACACATTCAGTGATGTTGAGGAGGGCTCTGGAAAAATGAAGAGCTTGTACTTATTGGTTGTTTGGAAATGTTATTAGTTAATTATATTAGTTTTTGCACAGTACTGTGTATAGAGTATGGATTAACCAGTGGAGTTAAGATAAGATCATAGCACTAAAAATACTTCTGGCTGAGTGGCTATTGGGTTGATAGTGCCACACGAAATCAATCAATCAATCGATCGATCAATCAATCAATCAACCAATCAATCAATCAATCATTCAATCAACCTTTATTTAAGCTCAGAGTACATTGAGGGATGGATCAATCAATCAACCGATCAATCCATCAATCAATCAATCAATCAATCAATCCATCCATCCATCCATCCATCCATCCATCCATCCATCAATCAATCAATCAATCAATCAATCAATCATCATCAATCATTCAATCATTAAATCAATCAACCAATCAAACAATCAACCAACCGATCAATCAATCAGTCAATCAATCAATCAATCAACCAATCAATCATCAATCAACCTTTATTTAAGCTCAGAGTACATTGAGGGAGACCCTCATTTACAATGTTGCCAAGCCCATACCGAGATCAGGGACAGAGAAGTTAAATAGTAAATGCATAAAATATGCTAAAAATGAATAATAATCATAGTAGTAAATAAAAAAAATAAATCAATAAACCTTTAAAATTACAAGAATATAGTAGTTTAATAAATAAGATAAAATGAGGATGAATAAAAAATATAATTATTAAAAAAAGCTTGGCAACATCAAAATTAATAAGAACAGAATAATAAAAATGAAACAATAACTAAAAACATAGTAAAAATCACTTTAGAATTTAACTAAAAATCAATTAAAAAGAGTTGCTGACTCAAGTAAACAAGTAAAACTGTTGTGTCGTCACTAAGGAGAAGTTAAAAAAACAGCAAAAACAGACTTAAAACTGACTGTAGAATTGCAGTAGAACTTCTTAGTACATCCAGCACAGCAGAGGAACTGAAGTTCCAGCACTAAAGCTCCAAAATGAGCAATGGTAACTAAGATAACACAGCAAAGAAAGAGAATTAGGAACTAAGTGTAAATGACCGAAATGGAACTGAGGATAAAAGAGTAGTTTTAATGGACTCACAGATACACTTGAGTATTTCATGTGTTATGATTTAAATATGCTCCTATAAGTATCTATAAATCCAACACAGTTGTACTTACGTTCATGGAATTGTGTAACTACAATATGAACTATATGTTGTTTGAGCTACTATGAGAACAAACAGCAGAAATGATGCTTCTTACATCTTGTTTATTTGTTTGTTTATTTACTTTAAGCCTGTTACGAAGTACAATTTGGGTGAATGGAGGCTGTTTCTGAGCTTTCGCCCGTCTCTGAGCTTTCCAGCTGCATGCGAGGCCTCCTCTGCCAGGACAGGTAGGGAGTTAAATACTGTTTCTGTTTCTCTTTTAAAATATTGCACTGCTATGAGGGGACAAGTTCACCCAGACAACATACTATTCAAAAAGTTATTGCCTAATTATATACGTATTACATAGTTATTATATGGTAGTTACATATTAAAACCACACGCTTATCATTTAGCTAATAATCTTATGTGTTATTATTCGGTAACTACAAGGGTTGTGATTCAACTGCATTCATGGTGTCTATTGATACATCAGTAAATTATAATAATAAGTACACAGCTTAAGCGTAGTGTGCTGCCAGATGGTTTGTGGTACTGTAGGTAGTTGTTAAGGTTTCCCAGGTGGTTGCTTTGTTATTGCCAACCAGTTGATATGATATCCCTGGTGGTTCCTACAGTGTTGCTTGGTGGTTTCTAAGGTATCTTGGTATGGTATGGTTGTTAAGTTGTTACTAGGTGGTCGCTAGGGTGTTGTTAGGTGATTGCTATGGTATCCCAGGGGGTTGCTAGAGTGTAATTATCAGCTACATGCCAATTATTTGACCAGAATAAAATTCTTAGGGTGTTTTTAAGTGTGAAAAAAAAATTGTTGCTTTGTTTCAATTGTATTCCACTGTTGTGTAAATATTTCCTCAGATCACATTTATATATTCAATTTTGAATCATAGAAAAATTATGACGTTATTATGAGCATGAGGAACTGAAATGATGGCCAAAGCCCACCGGCGGCCCAAAGTTTTATTACACACTTCTATAAAATAGGAATACCTCAACTAGTTTGAACTGAAATACATGTAGTTACTGAATAATAAGCTTTACTATGTAACCAGCCTGGGATTTTAAGGGGTTTTACAGGCGTTAGAATTGAGTGTGTTTGTGCTTCTTTCTGAAAGCAGTGTGAGCCCCAGCAGACGACTCGCCGTGACGCCCGAGCTGAACAGCCCTGAGAGAAATCAGAGAGACCAGAGAGGCCAACTACCAGAGACGCCAACAGGTCCAGACACGACCCCAGAGAGAGTATTAATCACTCGCTCCACACCCCCCCTACAGCTCATACAGGCAGAGAAAGAAGCACGTTTGTGCCTGGTGTGCACACTGAATTGTCTTCGGACAGTTCATGTTTTCCAGCATGTGCATTTCATTTTTGTTCAGCTTTATTCTTTACAACAGTCCTTTATAAGTAACCTAGAAAATACAGTCTGTCTGGAAAAACGATCTGTTCCAGTAATGAGACCCTGAAACAAAGACAAAATCATTATTCAGTATCTACTGTAAATTATTCAGTAACTGCTATAAATGATTCAGTATCTACTATAAATTATTCAGTAACTGCTATAAATGATTCAGTATCTACTATAAATGATTCAGTAACTACTATAAATGATTCAGTAACTGCTATAAATGATTCAGTAACTGCTATAAATGATTCAGTTTCCTACTATAAATTATTCAGTAACTGCTATACATGATTCAGTAACTACTATAAATTATTCAGTAACTGCTATAAATAATTCAGTACCTACTATAAAGGATTCAGTAACTTCTATAAATTATTCAGTAACTACTATAAATTATTCAGTAACTACTATAAATTATTCAGTAACTACTATAAATAATTTAGTAACTACTATAAATTATTCAGTAACTGCTATAAATTATTCAGTAACTGCTATAAATGATTCAGTAACTGCTATAAATAATTTAGTACCTGCTATAAAGGATTCAGAAACTGCTATAAATTATTCAGTAACTACTATAAATAATTCAGTAACTACTATAAATTATTCAGTAAGTATTATAAATTATTCAGTAACTGCTATAAATTATTCAGTAACTACTATAAATTATTCAGTAGCTGCTATAAATTATTCAGTAACTACTATAAATTATTCAGTAACTACTATAAATTATTCAGTAACTACTATAAATTATTCAGTACCTGCTATAAAGGATTCAGAAACTGCTATAAATTATTCAGTAACTACTATAAATAATTCAGTAACTACTATAAATTATTCAGTAACTGCTATAAATTATTCAGTAACTGCTATTGATAATTCAGTACCTGCTATAAAGGATTCAGTAACTTCTATAAATTATTCAGTAACTACTATAAATTATTCAGTATCTACTAAAAAGTATTCAGTATCTACTATAAATTATTCAGTAACTGCTATACATGATTCAGTAACTACTATAAATTATTCAGTAACTGCTATAAATAATTCAGTACCTGCTATAAAGGATTCAGAAACTAGTATAAATTGTTCAGTAACTACTATAAATTATTCAGTAACTGCTATAAATTATTCAGTATCTACTATAAATTATTCAGTAACTACTATAAATTATTCAGCATCTACTATAAATTATTCAGCATCTACTATACATGATTCAGTAACTACTATAAATTATTTAGTATCTACTATAAATGATTCAGTAACTACTATAACTTATTCAGTATCTACTGTAAATTATTCAGTAACTGCTATAAATGATTCAGTATCTACTAAAAATTATTCAGTATCTACTATAAATTATTCAGTAACTACTATAAATTATTCAGTATCTACTAAAAGTTATTCAGTAACTACTATACATGATTCAGTAACTGCTATAAAGGATTCAGTAACTGCTATACATGATTCAGTAACTGCTATAAAGGATTCAGTAACTGCTATAAATGATTCAGTAACTGCTATAAATGATTCAGTTTCCTACTGTAAATGATTCAGTGTCTCAGACGGATGTTCAGTAACAGTGATCTGTATTAATCTGTGTGTTTACAGTGAGCAGGAGGAGAGCTCAGAGGTAAGTATTTTGTTCCAAATGTAGTCTCAATGCTGAGCTTCTTCAGCTGAAAACACCACCTGACTTTAATCAGTATTTCTTCCCACAGTAAACTGTCACCACCTCAGAGACCCTCCTTGAAACTGGTAAAATAAGAGTTCAGTCTCCTGAATTCAAAAGTCTTATTTACTTTCTTTTTATTAATATTATAATAATATTATTACTGTTATTATTATTGTGATCTGATGTTATCTGATTTAAGTGATATACACACTGTTATATATGCATAGATAAATGTGTGTGTGTGTGTGTGTGTATGGTGCCTGTGTGTGTGGTGTGTGTGTGTGTGTGTTTGTGTGTCTGTGTGTGTGTGTGTTTGTGTGTGTGCGTGTGTGTGCGTCTGTGTGTGTGTGTGTGTGTGCGTCTGTGTGTGTGTGCGTCTGTGTGTGTCTGTGTGTGTGTGTGTCTGTGTGTGTGTCTGTGTGTGTGTGTGTGTGTGTGTGTCTGTGTGTGTGTCTGTGTGTGTCTGTGTGTGTGTCTGTGTGTGTGTGTGTGTGTGTGTCTGTGTGTGTGTGTGTGTGTGTGTGTGTCTGTGTGTGTGTCTGTGTGTGTGTGTGTGTGTGTGTATGGTGTGTGTGTGTGTGTGTGTGTGTGTGTGTAGTTATATACAGTGTTTACTACAGTTGGATGCTCTGCTTCACTCAGTCACACTTACCTCTCTTTGCCGTGTGTGTAGCGGTGGCGGCGGACTGGGCGTCTGAGAGGAGAGGTGGAGGATGATGAGGATGATAAGGAGGAGAAGGAGAACACACAGAGGCGGGTCAGTTAATCATTTACACTGTAAATAATAATAATGCTGTAACTCACAGTTATTGATTAAAGTCATTCAGTAATCAAAGCGTTTTCTGCAGCAGAGCTCAAAAAACCCTGAGGAACATCTCAGAGTTGTGACTGTTTATCTTCTGTTTGTAAGAGACTTTCAAACTGTTAGTTTGGCAAAAAAAAAATAAATACACTCTCCCTCACACTTTAAAATGTCTGTTAGTTTGAGGTTTAAACCACTTAGCCTACCATAATACTTAGGAAACACAAATTTACCTTTTACACTGGAGTTATGAGACAAATGTGGCTAATAAGTTACGGAAGCTCATAGCAACCAAATTAGCATTCTGCAAAATGTGCACCTAAATCATCACATCACATTACATCACATCACGTTGCATTGCATCACCTCACATCACATTACATTGCATCACATCACATTACACTGTCACATCAAATAACATCGCATCACAACAAATCACATGGCACCACATCACATTACATTGTATCACACAGCATCACACTGAATCACATTGCATAACATAATTCTGTATCACATCGCATCACATCACAGTGCATTGTATCACATCACATTACATTGCAGCACATCACATTATACTGTATCGCATCACAACAAATCACATTGCATCACATTGCATCGCATCACATCACATTGTATCACATTGCATTACATCACATAACACCGCATCACATTGCACTGTATCACATTACATTAAATTACATTACATTACATTGTATCACATCAGATTACATTACATTATATTACATCACATTGCATCACATTACATCACACTGGAGCTGCAAGGCTAATGTGTTTATAAATGTCATACAGGGTCAGGAACCACATAATCGAGTCTATTCGTGATTACTGAACAACTCCACACAGTCTGAGGCAAGTGTGTGATGAACTACGTGTGCAGTTAGCGCAATGCTAACACAATGCTTATTGCTGGACTTCCAGTCCTTGATAGCTACATTAGCCTTATAGCTCCAGCGCCAAGCTTAAGAAGCAAACTTCAGAACTAAACATGTGGGAATGGTTCGTATGCACTTCACTGAGTTTTTCCCAAACTACTGCTTTACCTTTCTTCATATGTCTCATGTGGAACTGTGGGTAATGCAGTGTTCTGTGCTGCAGAAACGAGTGCGCGTGAAGCTGTTCAGCAGCTCCAGTCCTGACGCTGAAGAGGACGAGGCTGTGAGCAGAAATAAGAGGCAGTATCACGGCTCTCCAGGCGAGAGCTCCAGTCACCAGAGTGAAGTAGAGAGGCCTGACCCCGCGGTACAGTAAT